CGGGATTTTGAGGATTCTGCACTCCGGGATTTTTAACAGGATTCTGTCCTACGGGATTTTTAGGATACTGCATTCCGGGAGTTTGAGGATATTGCCCTCCGGGATTTTTAACAGGATTCTGTCCTTCAGGATTTTTAACAGGATTTTGTCCTCCGGGATTTTGAGGATTCTGTCCTCCAGGATTTTGAGGATTCTGCACTCCGGGACTTTGAGGATACTGCCCTCCGGGATGATTAACAGGATTCTGTCCTCCAGGATTTTGAGGATACTGCATTCCGAGATTTTGAGGATATTGCCCTCCGGGATTTTTAACAGGATTCTGTCCTTCAGGATTTTGAGGATACTGTCCTCCGGGATTTTTAACAGGATTCTCTCCTCCGGGATTTTGAGGATACTGCATTCCGGGATTTTGAGGATTCTGTCCTCCGGGATTTTGAGGATACTGCATTCTGGGATTTTGAACAGGATACTTCCCTCCAGGATTTTGACCAGGATACTGCATTCCAGGATTTGGAGGATTCTGCCCTTGAGGGACATGCCAAACAGGAGGATTATTTACAGGAGTCTGCCCTCCAGGATACTTGATAGGATGCTGCCCTCCAAGGTGTTTAACAGGATTCTGGCCCATCGGATTTTTAACATTGTTCTGCCCTCCAGGATCTTTAAATGGATTCAGCCCAGGATGACCAGATAACCACAGATGTGAAGGATCCAAAAGTTCGGTTGCAAATGGGCCGATGGGAGGATAGAAGGGATTCAGACCTGTTGGATTCTGAGGTGGAAGGTTGCTCTGAGGAGGTGGGTTTTTTGAAGATTGCCAGTGCTGAGGTGTTAGCTCGGTCCTTCTGAAGCACACCAGCAGGACAAATACCCCTAAGAAGATAACGCCCCAGCGGTTTGCCATGGTTTCACACTGGTTAGACCTGGACAGTCCCCAAGTGCGCCCTCATATGTGAGCTGATGAATTTATATGTGACTACAACTGGTGGTTTAACAACCACACCTCCTCACATTGAGGCTGTTTTTGTCAATGGCCACTCAAAGGCTTAAGGGATTTATTATGCAACCCTTTTTATTTGGTTGGGTTTTTTTTTCCCCCCCGGTTTATTTATTTATTTATTTTTTTAAGCTAGGTCCTTTTAGGAGCTTTTTGGAAGCTTCTCAAGGCCAGGTGCACAGTCATGAGTGGCATGGTGACATTTCGTGATGAGCAATATTTATGTCACAAAAACCTTGGCAAAGGTCTTTGCGAACCACGCTGGTTGCCAGCAGTTTATTTTATGGGTGGCTAGCGTAACAGATATCGATTTTCAGCTTGGGCCAGTTATCAAGGCAAGCTGTCATCAGACCATCACCACTTCACCGTGTGGGGTGCAACGCAATGTAGGCTATATACGTCAGTGTGTGGGGAAGGACTATGAGTATGATGCAAGTGAGTGTACATATGAGTATAATACAAAATAAAAACAATGTATAATAAGTTGCCTGCTAATCATCCATAAATATTCAGATGGTAAAACAAGTGAAAGTTAATTGGTTTAATTTAAGGCTATTATTCAAGCTATTACCATTTTTTTAATGTTTCTGTCTGCAGTGGGACTAAAATCCATGGCTTCGTAACTCCAAAAACCCTCGTCCCTGCAGATGGAGCTAATGTTGACTGTGAGCGAGTTTCTACAATTTCAAACTTTTAATTCTTAATCTTATCGGACCTGAATAAATAGTGAATCCGTTAATAATTAAACTCGCTGACTTTTTGTTAAATTGACAACTTTCTTTTCATCGAGGCTTGACAACAAGTGTAAAACCTAGATACCCATAATGAGTGTAAAAAAAAATAGGACTCATAACAAAGCATCGGTTGCAAATACAAATATTGAAAAAAAAATGAACCCTTCTCGATCTGCTATAAAACTTATCAGGCAGATAGCTAGCCAAAGGCCTTGCCAGAGTACGAGTGTTCTCCTCGTGGGGTGACCATGGACACTGACCAGCTGGTCACCGCGACTTGTTGGCTTCATTGTGACCATCTAACCCCAGTGGAAGGAAAGCAGACATCTGATAGGGTGAGTGCGGGAACAAATGTGCAATATGCATTCTGTATGTCAGCAGTTTGTTCTCATAAGATTTCAGCAAGAGGTCATGTGAGATATTTCCCCAAATTTTAGGGAATTGATAAACTAACTGCAGCACAACGTTGTGGAATCACAGGCGAAATTGTACTCTTTTAGATAGATATATCATATATCATAGATGTCTTGCGTTTGCCAACTGTCATGGCTTACTGCCAAACAAAAGTGTACACATACAGTAAAATAATAATCCCCTTGCCGGAATTTTCTCACATTTAGTTACATAAATGTGAAATCCGGGCCTGTTGCACGAGTGGCAAAGGGCGCGTGCTGTACACGGGTTAATTGTGCCCTTCTGCCATCTAGTGGTAGAGCGTTTAAATTTTCGCCTTGTTACTAAAAACGACGGTGCATTATTTGTAGGAAAAAAATCATTTTCGAACAATCGATCCATCCTAAGAACCAATCTTGATTTCCCAAAGCACATCAAATCTCAGATTTCCGGCACACTAGTTGTTAGCACGACCACGGTTGACAAAGCAATTTATAGTACTTAACTTCCCTATGATTTCTTACGAGGGCGTCCCGGTGGTCTAGTGATTAGCGCATCGACCTCACAGTGCAGAGGTACCGGGTTCAATTCCAGCTCTGGCCTCCCTGTGTGGGCCTGCTTGGGTTTTCTCCGGGTACTCCGGTTTCCTCCCACATTCCAAAAACATGCATGGCAGGCTGATTGAACGCTCCAAATTGCCCCGAGGCGTGAGTGTGAGCGCGGACGACGGTTGTTCGTCTCTGTGTGCCCTGCGATTGGCTGGCAACCAGTTCAGGGTGTCCCCCGCCTACTGCCCAAAGACAGCTGGGATAGGCTCCAGCACCCTCCGCGAGAGCCAATGTTCTACATTCATCCCCAAGTGCCCGCATGCAAAACCAAGGCTCTAAACATCACAATAATTGTTGTTCCTAAATTCCAGCCATCCATCTTCAACATTGCTTGTCCTTATAACGGTCATGGGCGAGGCCAAGCCGATCCCGGCTGAATGTTGATCGCCCCAAAAAATCATGGAAGTGGATGGACGTGTTTTACATTTTGTGTACTTCCGAATACACAGATGGAAGTATATGTGATCGATGCTGCACTATGTGTCTGTTTGTGTGCAGGTCTGTATTAATGTATAGCGTTCCCCCACCGATGGGTTTTTACAGTGCACTTAGTGTAAAGACCTGACTTGTGGGAAAGGAGAACTTTCCTGGACAATCACATGCCACCTCATTGGACCCCGCCTCTTAAAGGCACATGTGTGCAGGCTGACTGAGTTTTAACATTCAAATATGTTTATAATGCCATTCAAATGTGTATTTTAACCCTTTCGGTTATTACAGTGGACAGCTTATCATGTTATCAGGTTACAGGGTGCATGAAAGGATTAATGAGACTACGTGTGGTTTATCTGTTTTTCCAAGTATGTTTTTCAACACTCAGGTCAGAACTCTGACATAAGAGTGCCCCCCATTCCACTCGAGCGTCGGAGTGAGTGGCGTATGTGTGTCGTACCCAATCGGATCCTGTGGCCTTTTTTTTTTCCGTGTTTGCATGCACTGTGGAAAATATTCAACAACAAAGTCACTTTTTAACACAAATGTTTTATTGGTGGTTATGATATTACATTTGATTTTTAAGATTATAAATGATTCCCGACCAAAATGATCCAATTTCTCAGTTGTCGTTAAGTTATTATTATTAAATATCGTTCATCTTTCTATGCCAGTGACAGGCAGAACAATTAAACGTGCTTCCGTCGCAATGACAGAATAAATCATGGCTTTCCTACGAGGACATCAGCTTCATGTTTGTTCAATTAAACATACTCAGTTTTCCACTAAGTAAGAAAATCTGTGAGTCTATTAAGACAAGTCCACCATTGTTTTTTTGTTTGTCTGGGAGTAATACTTTTTGAATCTAAAATGGGCGCCTTGGTTCTAAAAAGATTGGGAAACAATGGATATTGGTACCTAATAGTGGAACCATCACTAGTCTTCTTTCTTTCTTTTTTTTTCTTTGTCTTTCATGAGCCGTTGAGCTGTTTATTTCAAAACTCTTTTTTTTTCCCTAGCCCTGCGTGGCACTGTTATGATAATGGAAAACGTTTTAAGATAACCCCTGGCATAATGTGAAAGTAATGACATGAAAGAGGCTTTGTTTAGCGACTTTAAATGATATTGTTTCGAATATTGTGTCACCATGATGTTGACATGGAAAAAGCTTTCCAAAGTGTCTATGTTCTGTCATTGAAGTTCAATATCGAAATAAAAATCATGCTGTCGTACTGAATACAAATTTCAAGACAGTTATTTGGAGACTTGTCAGTCAGTTCTTTTTTTTTTCCTTTTTTTGCAGCCATTACCATTTTACGCACGGCTGTGCATCTTCCACGTCACTTTGTGTACTTCCAAATACGCAGATGGAAGTTTATGTGATCACTTATCACTTAACAGTGTTCAGGTTCCAAATGCGTTCAAAAGTTCCGGTCAAATGTGATCTCGTCCATTTGCTGTTCAGGGTTTGATCATGACCAGCGGTCCAGCAGAGACCACGATCCTCGTTTGCTCGTTCATCTCGGCCACAGACTTCACATCTCTTTCTGCTCAAACAAACACACATCCAAATATGATTGAGAATCACAAATTTGACACTATATCCTTCATATAGCGTATTGTAAGCAGATTCCTTACTTCTCCTGGAGCATATGGGCTCACAGGAAGGACCAAAAGCTGCGTTGCACAGCGATGTGCTACAGTGAATGTACAGCTGGCGGAGGAAAAAAAAAAGTGTATTAGGACAATCTTGAAGACAGGTTGCTGCAAACAGTTTTCTATGCGAATCGTGTTTTACATGTTCACTCTGGGGCTGTAGTGTGTTGATTTCTACGAAGGTAAGCATTTTGAAAATAAAGCGCCTGTGGTGACTCGGGAAGTCCACACCGGGGCCGGGATGAACGGGGACCTGGATAGCCGTGTAGCGATCATCAAGGTTTGGACACCTGGAGCAACAAATATTTGTTAACATCAGAGAGTTGATCCAACGCAATGATTTCACCGTATTTAGTTTGAATTGTAGGGAACTGGAATCACTTTTCTCTCACGACTTGATAGTTCAGCTTTTTCCACACAACTGTAGAGTTGGTCACGAGCACTATAAAGTGCTTTTAAGATCACTCAGGGATTGTGAAAATGTATCGGAATAATAAAAGTGCTGTCTAATTATATGAGGCCAAACATTTACATACAGACCAGCACAATGACAATATTTCCTTCATTTTATGCCATTATTTCCACTCTGATTTTGGTATGTTCCGCACACTGCTATGCTAGCTATTATACGTGTAATCAGTCGTGAAATGATACTAAATCAAAACATTTTGATGTGATTGCATTATCAACCACAAGTTATTTCATTTAGTCATTTTCACAGACTTTACTATCAGCATTTTGTCTTTTCTTCAGTTGCGGCTGAAACGGGCTAGTTGCAGAATAAATATTTACGTTTATGGTTTGTAATTTTCATTTTATGTGGATGTTGTCAACTTTGTGAACGATCAATTGATGTGAAAACTGTTCAGAAATTTTAAAGGTGTTTTTTTTAACAGTCCACTGTCAGCTTGCTAATTGAATTATGCTGCTAAGTGAAATCTGCCATGTGCTCAGACGAAGCTAGCATTAGCCAAACCTGTCCACCCTGTTAGCAAGCACACGTTTTGCTGTTTATAGCTACAGTCTGCATACAGTTAATTTATGTTACAAATGGAAAAAAAAGTGTATAAAATGGACCAATATGCATTTCTAACCGCATAATGTTTACCTAAGAATAATTGTTGACGTCGGGCAGACTTTTAGTACCTCTAAAATCATCACTGATTTGTTCACCCATTAACATTGCATTGTCAAAGAGACAAGCCGTTTTCAACATTTTTTTTTTTTTGGGGTGAAATTTGGGACTCTCAAAGGCACCTTATGGTGATATTGACTATTTTCCCCTCATATATTGGCATTTTTTAAAAGCTACATATGAGATTTTTTCGAAAAAGCTTTGACTTGCTGAACTTTATGATTTTTATCCCTGTATTTAAGGAGTTTTACAGGCCAACTGGAACCCTCTTGGATCATGATCTGGTCAATGTGATTTTTACATTATTTTGCACCCTGATTTATTAGACACTGTTCTAAGATTCTGTATTGTTCTCAAGGATAGATTTTTCACTAGCTTGCTAGATTTGATTCCTCTTCTTAATTTTGACAGCGGATCTTTGATGAACCTTGCGTTAGAAACAAACAATGGAATTGAATAGTTCATCAGCACAGTGAGCGGACCAGCTGACAATGTAAACATTGCTACAGCATGGGCAGGGAGCCCGAAAATAGGGTTTGCTGTTACCCGTTGATCAGAAGGTCCCACTGTGGCATGCTGTGAGGATTGGCACTGGTGGTGGTCCAACAGCGACCAAGAGTGAGGACAAGGTTGGGATCAGTCCTGTCCATAAGTTTGACCTCCACGTACACGTTGTCCCTCAAGACTTTGCTCACAGGGAAGTCGGCGTCCGTATAAAAAGAGTTGAAGGCCACTTCCGCTATGAGTGAGACACACGAATGATATTCCGTCTCCAAACAAAGCAGGGTACCAGGAGTGTGTACACATACCTTCGTTACAACCCTTTATCAGGCATAATCCATTACCCAACCTCAGCTGCACATTGATGGGACCCAGAGCAGAAACTGAGAAACGAGGACGCTGGTATGGGAGCATTTCCGCTATCAGAGTCTCAACCGACGTCGCTGTGTATCTACACTGGAAGAGTAACCTGAAAAAGAGAAAGGTTGTGTTCCACGTTGACAGTGTTGCACGTACACTACTTACAAAAAATTAGGGATAGTTGGGCTTTCGTGTGACTCCAGAATGAACTTTTTAACGGCACCGCCTTTATGGGTTAACCCAGAGGTCGGCAACCCAAAATGTTGAAAGAGCCATACTGGACCACAAAAACAAACGTCTGGAGCCGCAAAAAATGAAAAGCCTTATAATGAAGGCAACACATGCTGTATGGATCTATATTAGCTAAATTAGCCTACTATCAAAATGACTAAGTGGGCTACAAATACACAATGAGCCTTTATGATTATATGTTTTTTTCCCCCCTGGAGAGCAGGGGTGTCCAACCTTTTTTGACCGAAAAGATCTACTTTTCGATCTACCAGCCTCCCGAGATCGACCCGTTACCGCACGAATGCATGCGCACACCTACACATGTATGCCATAATGAGCAACAGCAATAATGGCTCCAAAGATGAAGGAGGCATGGGACGCACTTTTGCAGCGTGTTAACTATCGAAGCTCACGTGTACCGTTTAAAAATGCTTTTCTCAGCCCTACACATTCCCATTATTTGCCAGTACCCTTGGTGAAGTGTACATGAAACGCCGTTTTTTTTTTTTAACAACAGCCACCTGCCTGGCATCCCGTCCTGCTAATAGAAACGTGTGTCGCAGGCTATGATGCAAATCCTCATTGACAGAAATGTTGAAATAGAATTGAATTCTACACTTTCTTACAGCGTTGGAAAACTTTAGGAATACTTGTGTCATGTTTGTCCTCCTACAGAAACCATATTGAAACAAAAAAATATATTCCCTACCCCATCTTTTCCCATTTTCAAACATTTCTGAAAAAGCTACAGGAAGCCACTAGGGCGGCGCTAAAGAGCCGCATGTGGCTCCAGAGCCGCAGTTTGACGACCCCCGGGTTAGCTTAATGGTTTTGTCTAACAATGAGCTCAACAACAAAACATTTTTTAAAATGTTTTTTCACACATCCTTTTCGAAGCCTGTTTGAACGGCTAAATGAATTGGTTCTGGGTCGAGCCCTTGTTCAGCTCCTTGTTTGAGAACAGCAAGTTGTGCAAAAACAACTCAAAAATATAATCCACCCGGGAACGTGTGTACCAAAGTTTAGAGATGGTCAAATTAAGTTCATCCATCCATCCATTTTCCGAACCGCTTTATCCTCACAAGAGTGGTGGGGGGGTGCTGGAGCATATCCCAGCCATCTTCGGGTAGTAGTTGGGGGACACCCTGAACCGGTTGCCAGCCAATCACAGGGCACACAGAGACGAACAACCAACTGTGCTCACACTCACACCAAGGGACAATTTTGAGTGTTCAATCAGCCTGCCATGCATGTTTTTGGAATGTGGGAGGAAGCCAGAGTACCCAGAGAAAACCCACGCAGGGAGGCTGGATCTGGAATTGAACCGGTACCTCTGCACTGTGAGGTCGACACGCTAACCACTGGACCACCAGGCCGCTCTCAAATGAAGTTGTAAAATTTATAGTGCATCACAGGTTTATCCTGGAATATCACCCCTAAGCCGAATATATGTTTAAAAAAATACGTAGTGAAAGATAATGCCGTACTCATAGCTGCTGTCCCTGGTTATGGCACCCAGAGGCCCCACTGAAATTTCATATGAGGAGGTCATTCTATTCTCATAGATGATTTTACCAGCGTCCTCCTGCAAGAGACATTGTGAGAAGAGAAGAATATAATCATGCCTCGCCTTGTTGTGGGTTTTGAAAAATGAAGTAAAGGTCTAACCATAATGACAGAACCGCAGGCAGACACAGGAAACTGGTAGATGGAAAAAGCAGAATTGGAGTCAATCTGTGTGCAGCCAGGACCATTCGCCAACAGTGAAATAGTGTTGATGTCTATATTGGGTAGGGTGGCATCTCTGGCCACCACCAAAATGAACTGAGCATCTTTGGTGCACTGGACAGTCACTAGAAGAACAAGAACACTACCTTAGTGAGACATATTGTTGTTCAAAAACAATCAAGTCAATATGTTCAAAATGGCAAATGATAAAGTAAACCGTGTTCACCATTTGTATTGATTTTTTTTTTTTTTTTGAGCATTCAGAAGTACAGCAGGACTTTTTTTTCACTCAAGCTAGTTGGGAAATCCCACAAATAACTAAACTGTTTTGAACCAGACTGAAACTGAAATATATAACAACTAGAAATATGTACTGATCACAATATTATTGGAGAAAAAAAAAGTTAGGATGATTACGCACCACTTTTCCCAAAGTAGCAATTTTGACCATCGTGGCAGCAGCTAATGGCTTCACATTCAGCGGCAGAAATATCCAGACTTCCACATCGGATCCTTTGGACTCCTGTCACGTCACAGTCCTGTAAATTAGGGTCTTTCACTCTGGGATCGTAAGGGACTGGTGTCTGTTTCCCAGGTTGCTGTAACTGAGGATCCCTGAAATAATCCTGATCAGAATATCCCCGAGGTAATGCATTTTTTTGTTTTGCATCTTGATATTTCGGGCCCCTATTTATTGGTGGGGATGAAGGAAAACTGGGTTTAGATAATGAAGGTGTCTTCTGCGGCTGCTCAGGTGGAGAACTGCGGTTTGGATTGTGAGGTTTTGAAGGACCACTGGGTACATGATAACTTGGGACCACGGGAACTCTTGGCAGTGAAGGATTCGGAAAATACTGCAGGTAATCGTAGTAAAGCAAGGGTCTTCTAATCTGATCGTTTGGTGGTTTGACGTTTGGGGGCTCTGGCACTGGAGGGTTGAATGGTGAATAAACAGGAACTGTTGGATTGTATAGGACGGGGTTAGGAGGATTAAACCAAGGAGGTTTCCCTAATTGGTCTGAAGGCTTCTCTCCAGGGTCTTGAGACGATGAAGAATATGCCCATGATGGCGGCTTAGGATTCGGTGGCAGTGGCTCATATGGGGGTTTTAGGAAGACGTACGGGCCTGACCCGAGCGGATTGTGTGGGTCTCCAGAAGGAGGAACTGTTGGCTTATATGGGACAGGGTTAGGAGGGCTAAACCAAGGAGGTTGCCCTAAGTGGTCTGAAGGATTCTCTCCAGAGTCTTGGGACGATGAAGAGTATGTCCATGATGGCGGCTTTGGATTCGGTGGCAGTGGCTCATACGGGGGTTTTAAGAAGACGTACGGGCCTGACCCGAGCGGATTGTGTGGGTCTCCAGAAGGCGGCTTTTGTGGTGCTGGAGGATTTTGCGATGAAGGAAGTGGGAGAAACGGCCATGGATGGACATTTGGTGTCGCAAAAGGAAAATTCGACCCAACAGGTGCGTAAGGTGGAGAGACATGGTCAAGGAGATGAGGTGGTCCGGAGTGAAAAGGCTTGTTGTGTGCAGGTGGTTTGGGCAAAGAAGGCTTCGGATATGGATTTGGATTAGGCGGGTGATGCGGGTGATAAGGGCGAATGTAGGTCGGATCTGGAAGATTCGGTAGAAATCCAGAAGGCGGCGTCCAAGCGTCGACCTTTGTCCCAGTGTAGCACAATAGCAATGCTAGCGCCACAAATGAGGTAGCACTCCAGCGTTTGATCATGGCTTCACTGAAGTTTGATCCGGAGAAATCCCAAGTGCGCCATATACTCTATGTGTACCACCTTATTTATATTTGAACCGGTCAACCAGTCTTTTAAGCACCACCTCTCTTGGTTTAAAAAAAAAAAAAAAAAAAAAGAAAAGCAAAGCCTCTTTTCCCTCCAAAGTCTGTTTAAACTTCTGATTTTCTCTTGGCTGCCTTACAAGGCCAGGAATAGAAATTGTTGTGCATCTCCTGTGGTGAAAGGACAGCTTGACATTCGGGTCACTCAAACTTTTCAAAAAGCCTTTGTGACCTCAAATTGTTTGACACCAAATATTTATTTGGAACACAATACAGAGAGAGCAAATACGGAGTTAAATGTTTATCTTGTGCCAGTCAGCACCAAGCAGTTCAAGGTTTAGATGACACTGACGCAAAGCAGAACAGGGGGGCATGTTCATTGCTTACTTGGAATATCTTTTTTTTCTTCCAATTTGCGATATACTTTTACAAATTAGGCACTGTAGATCATATTCACAATTATTCAAGCTGTAATTGTGCCGCATCAACAGTGTGGCCTGTAACCAAGGTCGGGCTCACTCTGTATTCAAAACCTTGTGAAGAGGAGTTCAATAAAGCAACCTGCTTTATCTCAAAAGACTTGTGTGCCACTTCGAGGAAATCTTTGGCTCAAAAAGGACCCCAAAAAACAGCGGTGGCTGGATATCTTTCTCTCTATTCGATAGATGTGTGAGTGTCTTTGTGCCAAGGCAAAACAAGCTCGAGGGAAACAATTTATGGTCATGTTTTGTTTCCTGACTTGATAATAAACACAAGAAGATGAAAAAGCTTTATTTGACTCACAATGGAGAAATTTGCAACATAGAAGATCACATATAGCTTCGTTTTGAGATATTTACAAATATCTACGGGGACTTAAGTAGTAACTACAAATTTGTACTTGGTTATTTAGCACCGCTGTAGTTTGGTGTGCTGGCTCGCTTGCTCTTTTTATGGAGTCCCTCACCATCCGGGGTTTGCGTTTATATCGTTTTCCATCTCCGGTATTTTATTGGGGTAACGATTCTCGCCATGGCTGCCGAGATCCCTGAGATTGTCAACAGTATTCAGCAGTCATTCAACTTGATTTTAAGTTAAAGCCGTTGCCGCTTTGTCAGGCTGTGGGCTTCATGCTCTTGTTCAGCAACTTGCACCTTTGGATCAGGTATCTTCAGTGTGATTCTGGTCAATTATACATAAATTAACACATTCAACCAACGTGTGTCCTCTAATTAACGTCACAGGTTTCTTCGATCTTTTAATCAGTTCAGTTGGCCTATTTAAAGGGTGACAAGTCATCATTGTGCTCTTTGGTGATTATGGTGTGTACCACGCTTAACATGGATCAGAGGAATTGAAGGAGATAGTTGTTTCAGATTAGAAAACGATAGTCGTGTATGATTAAAAATCCTATCATTATTTTACTCTCTGCGTATTGAATTGAAATAATCTAGAGTTGAACTTTTTCAATTGAACTACTGAAATGAGTTGTCCACGATCCTTTGTGCCTGTAAGCGGGCCAAATGTTTTGTTTTGATCTTAAATAGTCTTTCTTTTTACTAGCAAAGTATTTAAAAAATGCGCACATTTTTTTAACTCTGTGTGTCATAATAGCATGTGATATTTTTAAATTTTACTATATAAAATGATTGTGTGAAAATGTGGCAATACAACACCGCCATTTGGAAAAACATGGTCGGCCCGACTTTTATTGCACAACAGAAATTAGAAAAATGCACATCATCCTTTCATTTAAGTAGACATTTATGTACAGTACAGTGGCATGCCGACATGCAGGAGAGATCACGAAAATCACAACTAGAAACATCTCCGACATGAGCAAGGCCTGTTTTGAACACTAAAGCAGACTGGCTTTATATTAACAAATGTAGGAAAGTGGCAATGTGAAAAATAAAATTGCATTACCATGCTGAATGTGTTCAGAAGTTTTTAAAAATGTGCTTTTCAAACTGTACCTTTTGACCAGTTAAAAAAAAGGAAAATGTGTTCTATATTACACAGCAACATTTAGTTAAAAAATTAAATTAAAAAAAACAAACACACACAACACTGAGTCAACAACAGCACAGTGATTTTTAAATAACTTAGCTTAGAAGTGTAACCTGCACGCAACCAGCACTGTTGATCATAAAGAGGAATTTGAGCATTCAAAAGGCACCAGATGGAGGGGGGGAAAAAGAGATGTGAAAAGTAAAAATAAAAACTGAGGAGGCACTAGGAAAGTCACAGTGATGCCATAAAAAAAAATCAATTAGAATAATCACAGCTGCACGTTACCCTCCAAAAATAAACTTCCCCGACTTTTGTCAAACAATTCCAAACTCTTGCATTTTGCTTCAACACAAAAATATGAACAAGATAAAATCGAGTGGAACAGTTTGACACAAAAATTGAGACGCCAGTGTTTATCTCTTGAAAATGCAAATCAAAACTTTGAGGCCATAAAATCACATACTTGGCCAGATTAAAAAAAATTGCTCCAACAGTTGGAACAGACAACTTGATCTCAACACAGATGTATAAAATAAAACACATTTACAAAATGCTAAAGGAAATGGATCAGACTGAAATCCAGAAGGCAATCTTCATAACCACAGTCAGTCATTTTGTTGATTTTTTTTTTTTTTTTAACGGCGGTTCCCCAGGCAACGCATGCCTCTGTCCAATCATGGAGCGGTTCCTAGGTGAGAAAACTACTTACTTGAGCCGCTGGATGAGTGTGTGTGGAAGTCCCAGGCTGAGCAGCTGCAATGTGGACAGCTGAGGTAAATGAGGCGCCATCTTCAGTAGCTTCTCCCAGGCCAGCTCCAGCAGGCTGGGCACCACCAGCCACACTTTGTACAATGAGGCCGTTCGACGATTCCCCGACATGTTCACCACACCGCCATGGACGTACATGCAGCCAGCCTGAGGAAAGATTTTTTTTTTTAAATTTGAATTTAGAGGAAAAAAAAAAAACTTCAGCTCATTTTGTTGTTCCCTGAATCTGAAATCAGGTTTAATTGTTTAGATCAGGAAAGTCATCTGGGGGGTCGGGTTGAACCACTTTGTCAGTGTACTGCAGTAGGAAGTCCATCTCAGATCATACTCAAAGATCAACACAAAGCCCACCTCCTGGATAGTAACGAGCATCTACCAGGCTGCATCCACACATTTGTCAAAGAAAAGAAGAAAACAAAAAAAACTAGACAGTTTGTGAGCTGCACATCGCCCTCCTTAGTCCAGGTGTGGAATCGCAGCTCACATCGATTCTGAAAACCATGAATGAAAAGCTATGATAGCAACCAGCAGAATTAAGACACAGTTCTGGATTAAACAGAACATGTGACTTAAACACTCTGATTAAAAACAAGGTTACCCACTTAACATGAAAAAAAAAATTTAATCAGTTAAAAACATAGCAGCTTCCAGCCAAGGCATCTGAAAGTGCAGGTGGCAACATATCGCCTGTGAGGCACGTCTCAAAAAAGTCCTCCTGGTCACGTAAACAAGGCCTTGATCCCACTCATCACTGGATAAGATACAAGGCCGACTGGCAACCAGCGCAAAACATAACCACTTTGCCTTATTATTATTTTTACAATTTTGCTGTGTCTATGTGCGTAAAAAAAAAAAAAAAGTCGTTGGCAACGTTAAAGAAGCCACAAGGTTACTTAAAACCTCTTGGATGCACTGGTGGGCTGGGAAAAGTTATTTAACAGCCACTATTGCTGTAAATTAGCCTCCTCCGAAGCCTGTGGTAGTTCGCAGCAGAGATCCCGCAAGAGCTCTTTACTCGCATCACATAATGGAAAACAAGAAGAGGAAGGTACTCGACGACGACGCAAATATTAGACCGGTGTCAAGTTTTTTGTTCTTTTTCTTGAAGTACTAATATGACTCACTGGCGTGACAGCAGCGCAGTGGAAGTAGGCGGGCTCCGGCATGACGGCGGGCAGCTTGGTCCACTGAAAGGTGCCAAGGTGGAGCTTCCAAAGGTCAGCCATGATCAGCTGACCGTCGTAGCCGCCGCATATAAACACCTCTGGAAGGGAGAACAACAAGTTGGTGGTAAAAAATAAATAAATAAATAAAATAAATAAATAGAAGGTATGTAGATGTAGGTAGAGAAATAACAATGTAAAAGAATAGGATAGGATAGGAGGAGGCAGAAGACAGCGATGTGACACTTGAACCATAGAGGAGAACTCACCATTATGGACCTGCACACAGCTGTGGCAGCGACGGGCAGCGGGATATCCTGTCAGCAACATCAAATTAAGCAATGGCAATGAAACGATGACTTTTGGAAAAAAAAAAAAGATACAAAGCATGAAGGTACCAACCAAGTTTTTCATGGGGTTTGGTGACTATTTCCTCCCAGTAATTTGTCTCCAGGTTATATGCGTGAATCTGGCAAAAGTTGCAAATTGACATTTCCAAATAGGGCTTTTTACTTACAGGTTTTAAGATGTAAAAAATATGCTTACTCCCAAGGTCCTACTTTATATCCTTACCTTGTCCAGGCGATACGATGACCAGGAAGTCCCGCCTCCTAGAATGTATATCCTTCGTCCATCGTGAGCTAGCTCATGTCTATACCTGACATCACACAGAGCGATGATGATGTCACATTTTTCAAATCATCTCTTAAGTGCGCTCGTCTCACCTCTCCTCCGGTAGATCTGAGGGGACGTTGTTGGGCTTGAGGTGGCTCCACTCTTTGGTCGTCAGGTCCAGCCTGTGCAGGTCAGTGCTGTAAAGGTAGCCCGTCGTCCCTCCAAAAACGTACAGGCAGCCATTAATGATGACCATCGCCTGCAAAGTGGCAATGCTGCTTGTTTGCGGGCCGTCTACTAAACAAAGTCCCGTGATGACACCAGTGCCCTGTAGTTACCTGGCCGTAGATCTTGTTAGGCTTCGTTCCTCTGCAGCCCAGCAGGTTCCATTGTTTGTACTTAACGTTGCAAACGTGGACGTCATTTCCATTGTTTTCACCAAAAGGAATGCCGGTGCCGCCAAACACCAGCAGGTTGTTACCATGAAAGACAGCTAAAGCGGGGTACAAATGTAGCGATCAAAACCAGGCCGAGTTTCAGATCCGATCCTAGCGAGGTCATTCTTAGATGTCTCAGGGCGATCCTTGAGCCTGTGGTGTGGCTTGCGTTCAGAGGTTTTGGAATACAGTATATATCCCACCGAGTCATCGCGAGGCT